AATCACGTAGCGTTGTTTACAGGTTGAAACCATCAATCAGAACTATTTCCATCACGGCTCATGATTAATGTGATGTATTGAGCTTTTTTTAATAAAACCTCTTATACGTAACACAAATGTGTGTAATTGATTATTTCAAATTACATCATGAGACGATTTTTGACCAGACAAGAGTGTAATTTCCCACTTTATCGCGGTAAAGTAAACATGAATGGCATCAGATTTTTTCACAGTTGTACTTTTTTTGACAGTGTTTTAAAACCATGCATTGATTTTATTCAACTTGACAGATTTGCACTACCATAGTTGGTTTCTCATATAAAATCTCAATTAAACAAAATAAAGGCTTGTGGTTATTATCTGAAAAGATTTACTGGATAATGATATTGTTACAAGTCTCTTTATGTTTTAAGACTCCATAATCTGGCTGTTCAAACCACGCTCATCTTCATTAGATGAGGTGTCAAATCTAATTACTGTCTGTCTAAAGAGCTGCATGACATGATCCTCGGGGGAGATGGATTTCTCCGGGTCGCTGGTGGCCCCTAATTTAAAAGTGATGATGTAACCCTTAGCTAAAAATAACCTGTATTACTGGTTCATGTTGGCACTGAATTTTAACATCAGATATATGAACACCTGAGCCTCATAGTGCTCTGCTTGGAGTCATGATATGGTAAAAGCTGCTCCACTGCTTCTCTTCCAAAGAGCTGTAAAAAAAAAAAATCCTAATAAAATGACAGAGGCAGAAGTATTGCCCCCAGAGTTCAAACTTTTCAAAAACCTATTTCCTGTGTGTCAGAGATTTTTTTCAATACTGGATTTCCCTTCATTTCTCACATTTATTGCTTTAAGGCATGTCTCTCTGTGGTGGTTTAGTTCAAGTTGGTTTTTAGAGAAAACCCAGTATATATATATATATATATATATATATATATATATATGTGTGACATAAAGCCCTTCTCTATTTTAATAGAATTATCTCACACAGAAAGATATGCTGCAGTTCTACCGTGATCTTTGCAGATTTTTTCATTTTTCCTCCTTATTATCCTCTGCACTGTGATATAGCCTTAGACTATTTGTGTACAGATATATTCATACCTTAAGGAAACAGTAAATATAATAATTGAACTTTATTGATCTCACGTTGGAGAAATTTATCTCTGCATTTAACCAATCCCCTTGGGGAGCAGTGGGCTGCCATTATGCAGTGCCCGGGGAGCAGTGTGGGGGATAAGGGTCTTGCTCAGAGACCCAGAGTGGCAGTCTGTGGGAGTGGAGCTTGAACTTAGAACCTCAGGATTCCAAGCTCTATGCCCTAACCATTAGGCCACCAAATGAAAAGCTTCTAGACAATCAGATTGAATTAAAGAACTAGCCTGTATGTGTCACATAAACACTTATCAAAAACATCACATAGATTTCAATTAACTTAAATTTAAAATTTCCAAAAAATATCAATCTATATTTTTCAGAAAATGTAAAACGGGAGCATTAATTAAAGAAGTAGCTAGAAGCATGTGGTAACTCGAAGGGAACTGCAGATATCCACAGTTCAGGTGCTGTTGACAGGAAAACCCATCTGACTTTAATGTAGTAAATTAGCTATTTAGAGTCTTCCTTTAGAAAATGACAAACAGGTTGAGAAAAATTCTCTGATTAAAATAGACAAAAGTTCAGCTTTTTGACATCAATGGAAAGCAATTACCCCCGAAAAGATAATTGCATATAACAATGAATACACAATTCAAAAAGACACATAATGAGTGCAGCATCATGAACTAGAGATGCTTTTCTGTAGCAGGGGCAGGGAAGCTGTTCAAAGCTAGTATAGACTATTAACTATTAGAAAGACATTGACCTTTGACATATAGTTAGAGCAACAATGGTTACATCAAGGCAAGTTCTTATTTCAGAAGTTAAAATCTATATCCAACTGAGTATTTGTAGTAAAACCAAGGCAATACTTTAACAGGTGCTCTGTATCTTTCTTCAGATTTTATTGTCATTACACTGTCACAAGTACAGAGCAACGGAATGAACTCTCTGCATTTAACCCATCGCCTTGGGGAGCAGTGGGCTGCCATTGTGCAGCACCCAGGGAGCAGTGTGGGGCTAATCTTTGCTCAGGGAGCCAGAGTGGCAGTCTGTTGGAGTGGGGCTTAAACTCAGACCCTCAGGATTCTAAGCTCTATGCTCTAACCACTAGGCCACTATTCCCCCCAATTTAACTTCACGCAAAAAGATATCTGAATAACTTACAGTTTATTTGGAGGTAACGACTGGTGACTGCAAAAGAATTACAAATGCAATTGCTGTAAAAGGTGATTCAAAATAGGCCTGCATGATATCATATACAACACTGCTACATTCTAGGTGCACAAAGAAGTGTTATCTCAAATCCTTCATTCCTCTCTGCTGCTGTTGCACCTTCTAATCCTCATCACTGCTCTTAAGAAACTCAGTATGCTTTATATCTCTGTTTCCATTTCACATGTTTTTTCAAGTTGTTGTCAATAGTCTGTTTTTGTCTATGTAAAAAAAATAAACAATGTGCATCATGTCATTTGAATCTAATTACTTTGCACAGTAGCACAATTCTATTTAATTAATTAATTAATCATGGTACAGATATATCTTTCGTATGCTTTAAAATTGCCCTTACTGTATAGATGCTTTTTCTTTTTTTTTCATGACTATATTATTTACTATTATTATCCGGATGCTCCATTTGCTTTTTATTTTGGTGCGGGTATGCTTGATTTTCTTATAATGACATTGATGTATGTTCCAACTGCGACATAGCTTGTGATAAATAATGTGATTACATTCTTCTGCTCTGTGTTCATTTCAAACATACATCCCAGATAATTAAATGTCTATCAAGAATCTGGGGAAAATGAAACCTAATTAAAGATTCCCTTTTTAGCAAACAAGTTTAATGGAAATCTTTGCTTCTGGTCAATTACCTTTTTGGAGATAGAAAAATAGTTGTCTTAGTTTCCTAATTGATTTATCATCATTTCACCTCTTTACCCTCTTTAACCTTTTTTTCTCTGAATAAACAATAATTTTCATCTAAATTTTTGCTAATATAGAGAGCCTTAATGCATAGTACTTAGATAATGAGCTTAGGTGTAAAGCAGTCTAAGCAGTTTTTTTAATTAAATGCCTTTCACAGTTTTGTGGTTTAATTTTTGAATATTATTTATACTATACAGCACTTTATACTTAACAATAATTTACTACTCTGTGGTGGTCTTTTCAGGAAATGCCAGTGGAACACATTAACAACCGTAAAACCGGAAAATTAGAAGTGAAATTCATTATTTTTTAGATTGAATATTTTGTCTTTAGAGAATTTTTGAGTCACTTTACAGTCAGCTAGCATCAGTGAAGATATAAACTCAGAGGGCAGGGCAGCATAGTTTGAAAATAGAATCTCACATTTTTTTCTATCTTAAATCTATTTTTTTCTCAATCAAGTTTCATATTTATAAATATTGCTGTCATTAACTAGATTTTCAATCATCCCCTCTGAAGTGAGTCCATAATTTAAAGGTCTATGAAATTCATGTTTAGAAATATGCTGTAAAACAATCATGTTTCATGACAAGCAAAGACAATAAATAAGAAAATGTCTGCAGTTAGTGATATCACACAATGAGATTATTTGTTATGAGTAGACTTCTAAGAACAAAAACTAATGAATAGATGTCACTCTGACCTATGGAGGTCCAAGGAGTCGATTAGTGGGTGAAAAAAAAATCCATGAATTACATTTTCATAAACCAAAAATTTGATTAAGCAATAAAATCCAATTAATCACCCAGCCTTAATATGCAATATATCCCACCTGTTAAATATGTTAAATATGTCTTTGCATATAACAAAAAAATAAATAAATAAATAAAAAAATCATAGAGCCATGTTGTCAAAATAGTAACCCAAGAAATATTTGTCTCTTTTTTAATATTTCAGTTACAAAATATTATTTCATATAAGGAATCCAGAGGTGAAGGCCAGACATTATAATTATTTTGGCATTTGATACAGTTGATAAAGCATTCTCAAAATTTGTTAAATGGCCTATTTTACCTAAAGTCAAATAAACACATTTTAAAGTTATAGACAAAATTATTCTGTGGCAAAATGTTTAAGAAAAAGATTTGGTTTTGAGGTGGATCAATGTTCCTTTTGTAATAATAATAGTGAAATTTGAACATTTGTTTTCCCCGTGTCCTCCTACGCATCGATTCTGGAAAGAGATGAAAGATTAGATTTCTTTGAAAATTGATTATGTCCCCCCATTTGCCCTAAATTATGTCATTTTTTATACAGACCATATTCCCTTGCCTGTTTCTGATACTATTAATATCATCCTGCTATTGGGTAAAAAATCATATCCACTGTGCTAAATGAAGAAATGCTAGACCTTCCTATCAAGATCAATGTCTTTAAAACCTTTTTTTCTTATCTTAAAAAGGTTAAAGTCTTGTATTCTCCAGACATGTGCATCCACCTTTTTTGTTTTTCATATTTCTATGGCTCTTTCTATGTTTTATTTAAATGTTTGTTGATTTAAATCCTCTGCTATTTGTTTTACATTGTATTTTTCAATTATAATTAATCTTTATCTGTTCATGTACACTTTTGCCATCCTCTTTGAGAGTATTTTTTCATGTAAATGTCAATGGCTTAATAATAATAAAAAAAAGATTTTTTTAAACAAGTTCGTTTGGCATTTGGCCCTTCCTACTTTCCGTACCAAAAAGCAAGCTCGTGGTGCCTGTGATGCCATTTTACAATACTGTTTCTACTCATTAAATAAATGTATCTATTGAATATTTAGATAATTAATTCCTTAAAAAACTCAATTTAAATCTCAAGAGGACACAACTCTGGTCTCTCTGCCTTGATTTTATTCTCTTCTTGTTTATTTTTAAGCAGGCAATGGTGAGGCCACCTCACGACGTCTCCTTCCTGAGACAGTCGGGTTTAGGAAGGTCTTTAACCGGTCGGTTTGTTGTGCAGCGGCACCTTCCTCTGTCCTTCAGCAGGAAAATGTATTACAAATTCAGCGGTTTCACCCAGAAATTGACGGGTGCTGCTCCCACGGCGGCCTACAACCCTCAGGTGAGAACTTTTAAATGGTGTTTTGGTAATAAACCGAGTCTTTAGTGGCTCTACTGACCTTGGTGCGGATTTGTTAGATAACGGAGCCTGCTACTGCTAACAGGCTTGTCAACTGATTAGCAGGAGTGAAAAATATCAAATAAGTTTATCCTGTTCACAAATATGTGTTTAATGTTCGTGACTTTTCTTTTACTTTTTAAAATATCATTACATATTGATAAATAATTAATGTAAAAGTTGATGTCCAGATTCGATTTATATATTAATTAATGTTTTCCATACTGTTTTTATTAGTCTACAGTTAGGTGCACTTTTTGTCCTCTGAAGAGTTTGTTACCTTTTTTCTTTTGACTCTGCACTTCCACTTTTAACCTCTATGTCCTTCTTAGTCAGCTTTGTCCTTTAAAGCAATTTCAAATGTGTGAACATGTTTTATTTAAAAAAAAAATCTCTTTTTTTGTGTTTAATCCATTAAGTAGAGTTTATATAAACTTATTTTCTGTAAAGCTGAGTTTTAACTTTAAGAGTCTGTTCCAATATACAGAAATGCTTTCCTTTACAGCTGGTCAGAATGAGGTTATGAACTATTGTTGTCATCATTTTATGAATTACTGCTTTTTGCTTGTACCTCTACTAGTTAAAGTGTGTGATGTGCCTACATTTGTACAAGTTTTCTGTTTTTGTAATGTTTTTTTTTTAAATCGATTTGATTTCGATTATTTTTTCAATCAATTAATGAGCTGGTAGGCAAAGGTTCCTTAAAGAATACTTTTCATTAATTTAAACCAGATGAAACTCAAACTTTTCAACTTAAGGAGTTCTGGATAGAGCATATTGACAGAGAACTGATTTTTTTTTTTTTTTTTTTAATCCTAAATGCCAAATGTGTGTATATATATATATATATATATTAGGGGTGGAACGGTTCACAAAATCCACGGTTCGTTTCGATTCACGGTTTCTGGTCACGGTTTTCGGTTCGGTTCGATACATGTTGATTGTTACACCGAAATCCCATAAAAATTTATGGAATTGATGAAAAAATCCGCGGAAACCCTGGATCATTTCCGTATGTTTTGCTGCTTTGAATTTAATCATCTCGCGCATGCTCTCTGTCATCTCCAAGGGACTCAGAGGGGAGCGGACGAAGCCACAGTGGGGGATGTAGGCTTTGCTTTGAGCAGCCGGTCTGGAGCGCAGCGGGGCGGAGCGGGGGTTGCTGACGGAGTATGAGGGATTTCGGGGTTAGCATGACATGTTTGTCATGTTGCTGTTAGCATAAACAAAACGTGTTGCACAATGCTCGCACACTGTTGCACTTCTTATCCACAACTTTCTTTCCGCTGTCATCGTAGGTCACTCTAAATGCAAAGCGCTCCCATACAGCAGACCTATAAAGTGCTGCTGGCGTGTCTTCCAACTCCTGTTCTTTCCCACTCGCCATTCCGACACAATTCTCCACAACAACTGATTTTTTTCCCTGCTACACCCGGCTAAGCTGCTTCGCTTCTTCTTCTTCTTGTTTACTACTGGTGGTTGGCTTTGGTCGCAGTACCGCCACCTTCTGCTCGGGAGTGTAATCGCTTCCTCTATGAGAAAAAGGAGCAGCGCATGAACCGAACTAAACACACGCGAACCGAACGGTTCTGACGGTTTTCATAAATCGTCCCATCCCTAATATATATATATCTATATAGATATAGATATATAGATATATCTATCTGATATATATCTGGGCATAATTACTGCTCAATCTGGGTTCCTCTGTCAGCTACAATAATGCTTTAGAGTCTCTCTACTCAAGTTAAAGATTAATTAATTTCTAAACTAGTTGACAATTATTTCAATAATCGATTAATCCCATTAATTGTTTCAGCCCTAGTATTAACAATTGTTCAAAAAAAAAAAAAATTTACTTTGTTTCTAAGTTTGAAGACGTTTGATGGGAAGCGAAACGTCTTCAAACTTGGAAACAAAGTCCAGTGGGTTATTTTTAATGTTCTTTTTTTGGACTGACTATGACCTGGATAACTGAGAATTGTCACCAGCATTTTAACAGTTATGTATGCAGTTAATAGTTTTAATCTGATACTTTCAAAGGCTATTATGGGAAGGAGGATCACAATTATAACTAATAAAGCCACGTCAAGGTTTAAAAAAAAAAAAAATAGTTGAGTTAAAACCTATTATATTTTCTATTGTATTATGTTTAAAAACTTTAACCTTAAGCAGACCTAGTAATATTTTTACCTTCAGTATATCCTCTTATAAAAGTCACTGTGATGGATATCTAAGTGTGTAGTACAATTTAATGGTCTGTCGCCTCCGTGTATTGGCCCTGATTGGAAAATCACACTTAAAACCTTTCTGTGCTGCCGACCTGGTGACAGTCTCGTGGCTCTGCTTTTCTCTTGTGTTAAGGCAAACTGCTTTTTATCAGCCCAATGTCATCAATAGCCACGCGTATCATGCTTTGCAACCCACAGATGACTATAGGATGTTTATTTATTTAACATTTTAATTTTAATTTATTTTGGATGATTATGACATGGCAAAGCTTGGAGGAAACAGTCAAAGAGAACCTTTTGTCAGAAGAGGAAACAAAAATCAATTTTGTTTTTTGCTTTTTTTTCTGTCCACTATAAAACATGTAGAAGCTGATTCACCTTAAAACTGATTAAAAATGATTCACTCAAGAAGTAGATTTATACTTCACAGATAAAGGAAACAATTTGCAGTAAAAAAGGCTGATATACCCTAGTTTACATTAAATAATGTAGAGTACTACCAACCTCTTCAGATATTTGGCTGTAATGTGTGCCTTCCAGGTGCTTAGAGAGCGACAGCGCTGGTGCTTTGGGGGGTACAAGGAGCAATCAGTGTTTACATTAGTGCAACTTTCAAAAAGTCATGTAGGGGTAGCAGTAGCACCACTCAAAATTAATCAGACATTAATGATAAACTGTTCAGTTTTTCTTATGCCTGTACTTTATTTTTTTTTTTTCCTGAGTAATATCACTTAACCAAATTTTACTGTTGGGACATTGCTAATTGCTCTCACTTGTAGGGATGTTCTAATCCTATATAAGTATCAAAATTTGGTCCAATATCAGCCAAAAAATAATTATTGGAATATTTCGGCCTGCATCTAAATTCTCCAATACAAGCAACCTGATAGAAAAGCTCTGCTCCCATTATCTTAAGACCTTTGTATGCATCCAGAGTGCACTACTGGGCAAAGAAACCTTTTTATTAACAGCTATATTTAATGGCTTTTGTTCTTTATGTGTGGTCAACTATATAATTTTATTCGCTAAATCTGTCTTTACTGCACTTTTACTTCAGCACTTTAGTGAAAGACTGATTAGACCTGTAGACATTGTGGATGTCTGTTACTAAACAACCTCTCCTCCACCAGATCTATAGTGGCATATACATAATGAGGCTACTGCTTCACTTGTTGGTTTATTGACCGAAGACGTCTCTAAATTTGTTTCTTCATTCAATATTAAGAAACGTTGAAAAACTATCACCTCTATAAATTGAAAGCGCTAAGGCCTTCATCAGATCTCTGACCCTGACCTTGGATTTCTACATGTAAGCCTTTTTTTATTTTTAGTGTGGAAATAAGGAAGCAAATATTTAGAGGTCATAATCGTGCTCTTCTATATTATGTTTAAATTTCTATACTTTCAAGTAAGGGAAGAATGTAAATAAAATAAACTATTTTACGAGATGAATTTTTTGCACTTATTGCAATCGCATGTGGAGAATCTACTTGATTTAACCACACTGTCAACAGTTAGGTGGATGTAAAATTGTGGATTCTTCCTCCCTAAGTTTGTTTCTATAGGATTCTTTGATTTTATGTTTTTCCTTTTCTGTTTTTTTTTTTATTAATAATTTAAACTTTTCTAAAGTGAGGGACTGTTTTAAAAAAAAAAAAAAGCAGATTGTTTTTCCTCACTAAACAGATAAAGATAATTAACGCCATGCATTACACCTCCTCAGTGTTACACAGCGGGGCAAAAATTGTGAGAGCAACTGGGCAGGAACTTGGTTAAAAATGGTGCCTGCGTCATTCATGCTCCACAGCGCTTAGTCTCCACCTGTAATGAAACAGCAGCAGATGGCCAGGATAATGTGATAAACATTGATTTAATATTTTTACAGCTCATGGGTAAACCCACTCTGGTAGATTCTTCTTTTTATTACAGCCACAATTCATGTGAAACGGGGTGTTTGTGTGTGTTGTTTATAATGCTGTTCACATAGCCATAACACACACTACCAGACCCGATTTGTTCTACAGGTTTAACAGCCTGCTGTCAAATGTTATGCCTTCATCCAGGTTGGTGTTTCTGCAATGTTTTCGTAGAATAAGAGAGCTGCCGCCCAGACCATGTCCTCCAATTTCACATTATGATCTTAATTGATGCACCTTTAGAAGCGTTGGAACAAAAAGTCTTTGTTTTGATTGTAATGCTCATAAAGTGTAAAGGTACCACAGGGCAGCTGTGCCAGGCAGCAATATTGTATTTGAGGCTATAGCAGTAAGTACATTTGCTTTTTCAGTAATGAAATTTGTGCTTTTGGCCTTTCTGCCACCTGGCTCAACTTTGAAATAATATTCATGCTTTAGTACATCCAAAATAATATCCTAGAAAATGTATTTTTGTGAAAAAAAACATTATCTTTCACGTGTTCGTAATAATTTTATGTGGAAAACATCTATTTGATAGCCTTTCTTTTTTTGAATTGGCTATCACAGTTTTTGGCTAATACTTTCTCATTTTTAGTAAGGAAGTACAGTCTTCTTCAACATCAGTTGTAATGTGTTTTTTTTAAAGACCTTTTAAAATACATTTAGCTTTTTAATGCAGCAGCAGCTAAATTTCTAATGCTACCCTTATTTGTGTCCTCCAACAACTTCCATGAAAGCAATATTTTTGAACTATTTTAATATTTGCTTTTGTAGACTTTTTATTTTTTTTCATTATTAGGTATATATGTTTTGGTTTCATACTCTCATATATGTTTGCCAAATTAAATGTTTGCCCTCCTCACTTATGTGTCAGTTTGGATTTCCACCCGCCTACATATCTGCCTCCGCATGCTTTAACAAGGTAGTGACCGTCCCAGAGATTTTTATGTAAAATAAATGGTGCTGACACTCAGGAGACCTCTGCTTTATTTACCAGTGCTGCACTCTGTGCAGAAAATACACCGTTATCAAACATACTGGGCCAAGCAGCTCTTTCATTTGAAAGTGTTGCTGTCAAATATTATGATGAATAACTATGCATGGAAGGAATGATTAGTGGAAGTGTGGCCCCTTTTCAAATGAGAATATGCTTTAAAAATATGTTCGGAGAAAGTAAACTTTTGTTGTTGTAAGCACTTTTCTTATACTTATACTGCTTTGAAAGAAATGGCCCAAATCTAGTTTCAGCTGTTTTAATGCTGCCATTAGTAATCAGTGTTGAGAAGCCTAAAAATACACCGAGATTTTATTGCTTTATCATATTCTCAGAATTTTATTTTATTTACGTGGTTCTTTGTTTTTTTTTTTGACTGAATAGACTAAAAACGTTCATATTTATCAGCAGCCCAAAGAATTTCTTTAATAAAAGTCTATCCAAGGGTATATATTTGACTGTTTTTCTTTTCTTTTTACTGTCCAAAAAAGTTAATCCATGCACTTCAAAAAAAATGATAAATTATTGGGCTCCATGGTAACCATGAAGCAACATTTCACAGGTATATAATTAGACATTTGAGTACATTATTTTAAAAAGAAAATAAATCCCACAAGAACGATTATTTTTCTGTCAATCAGTGGTTTCTCCATTAGTGCCCCTAATATTTCCTATGAAATAAATGCAACAGAAACGGCTTTGTATAAAATCGATCATGATTTTTATGTCTTTCATCCATTATGGTTTCTTTGGGATAAAGAAGTCTTCAAAAGGGGGGGGGGGGGTGCCAAACTTTTAATTTGTTTTAATTAATCATTTTTAATCATACCGCTCGCCAACAATTTAACAGCTGAACAAGTTGAACCGATGTAAAGCCATAACTCTGAGTCAATAAAGCAATCACAGTATCAGGGCTTCAAAACTACTATAGACCATTATGCTTAATTTATAGAAGATCAATGTGAAGAGAAAAAGCTTTTTCTGATCCACTGCATGAAAACGGAGAGGGACCCACTCATTAATCTTCCAATGCAATAGTGATTTTGATTGATTTCATGTTATAAAGCATTTTTGTTCTCAAATTAAAGCCTCATCTCTACACTTAAAGCATTCAATCTGTGAAACACTGACATGCTTTGATCAGGAAAAAAACAAACTAGAAGCTCTATTTTTCTAACAATAAATGTTTGACTTCGTTGCCTGAAGATGTTGGCTGATTGCCTCGCAGCCTTTTTTATTCCTAATCTAAAATGTTCTCTCTTCTCTGATTTTTTTTATTTTTTATTTCATTCAGTGCTTTTTGTGTTTATTGAGGTCTTTGCCAAGGTCTCATACCCACAGGCTTGCTTTGGTGGGCGAAGAAGAGCTGCTTACATAAGTGAAGAATGTTAAAAATGAAACCGTAAAATAGAAACGCAACAACCTTGGTTGTGTTGTCACATAAATGCATGTGAGGCAATTTAAAGAAATCAGTGGGTCTTTCAGTTGTAGGAATTGTATTTAAAAGTGTGTTTTCATTTAGGGGCTGAAACAGGGGCTGCCTGCAGAGTCTCCCACCATGATCTTTGCCACACCCACCAAGCTGGTGTCAGAAGCAGGATCCACGGTGGAGTACCTGGGAGCAAACAAAGTTCCTGACCTCCAGAGGTTTTTCCAGGTAATGAAAATAAAAAAAATACTGGTTTGAGATATTTTAAAATGGATCAATAAGCTGATGAATCTTATCTAAAAATGACATTGTTTTTATTAGATGTACTACTAATAAATGCATTTCTATTTTCTTTTTATTATTAAACCTATATTTAACCAGATAAAAGATCTTACTGAGAGAAATTCCTTTAAGCGCCACCTGGCCAAGAAATAAACGGAACAGAAAGACAGCAAGGACAACATTTGCATTAAAGCGTTAGAGTAATAATAGTAAAATAGAAATGAGAGTAGAAACGGTTTAAAGGATTTCCATCTCCTGTTTTATTAAGGTGCAGTAGGGCTTCCCAATTTTAGAAAAGCATGCAACCGTAGAGCTGTTGCTCAATATGTTGATTAGGATTACCACACATTTTCTGACAGTTTCTTTGTCTTCATCACTATCTTGCCACCATTTTGCTTCAGCATTATAACCACAAAAGATGGATTGCGTAATCTTTCAGATGTTGCGCAACCCTTCTATGAATTTCATGAAGGGTGAATACAGGTTTGCTGCATAAACAGTCCAATATGAATGGTCTGTCAAACCGCTTACTAGTTTAAATGAGGAATCATTTAAGATCCTATAAATCTTGGGCAGCTGGCTGTGGGTACACCAGACAGAATCACAGAGTAAACCTTCTTTAGGCATGGAGAAATGCAACAATAACTAGTTCAAAGCTGTTTTATCATAAAGTTCAAAGAGAAACCACACTTTGTGTCCAGCTTTTAATAGAACCAGATAGATGATGGGTAATGACTAATATTTGTTTGGCTCTCTGGTCTGAATGGCCTTGAGCCACCTCCACCACCCAACCCACCAGTATTCACCACTTCAGAGGCTGCAAATAAAACAAAAAAACCCACCAGCAGTCAAATGAAAATAACTACATCAACTACTGAAATTTGATGAAGGGCTTTATTTTTGCAGGAGCTTAGTTGCGCATTCAAAACTAAGTATACAATTTGTTATCTGAGCTCTTTCTGTGATTACTAAATTACCCTCTTTTTCTCCTACCATCATCTCCACCTTCCTGCACTCTGCTTTCCCTTCCAGACGTCGGACGGCGTCCCAGTCCACCTGAAGCGCGGATATTCTGACCGACTACTGTACCGCACCACCATGGCTCTTACAATCGGAGGCGTCGCCTATTGCCTGGTGGCACTCTACATTGCAGCTCAGCCCAACAAGAAGTGACAGACACCACCCTGGGATCTTATTTGTTAACAACACTGACTTGTTGCTGCTGCTTGCATCCAAACATTCACATGCTCGGTCTCCATCCTCCAGACCACTTCTTTGGGACCCCTTTTTAAATGAGAAATACCCCTCTGCTCAGTGGTTATCGTAGGACATGAGGAGCTTTGACCTTCATGTGTACCTGCCTTTAAACGAAATAAAACCCGATGAATATGGCTTCAATAATTGTAAATAATACAATTACATTGTTTTTGTTCTCCATAAAGTTCACTTTTAAAGTCAGTATGCTGGCTGTGTATAAAGAGAAGGTGGAGTACATGTTGCTAGAACCATCAGGACAAAAGCCAACGATAACCAGAATATCCGTGTTGTTTGAGAAAGATGTCTAAATTAATAAATTCTAGTTTAAAATGCTTTGTCTCATGTTGTCATCCTAATGAAACCATCTATAGTGCTGCTCTGTCTGTTTGCTACAAGTCAGCATGATAGACAACCCCCGTCTGGAATGTAGCCGATGCTCACTTGGCTTAGAGAAAAGGCTCGTACAGTCGCCATGTGTGGGAGCCCTGGTGTGATGTCAGATGCTCCTCACTCAGAGGATTGTGTCTGTCGCTGATTTTTCTATTTTCCAGGTTAGTTTCAGTTTAGAATACCAGACATCCATGGGGAAGACTCATGTCTATCAAGCAGCCATTTGCACCAATTCACATAACCAAAAAGGGAAATTAGGAAACTAATGGATTTAATTGAGGCTGGATGATATGGCTTCAAAATGTAATCTAAGTTTAATTTCTTTTTCCTATGAAATTCAATTGATCTTTTGAGTTTGTTTTGTCTTTTTTCTAACTCAAGTTTTTAAAATAAACTAGAAAAGCACTCGGAGAGTACAGACCCACGCCAACCAGCAAATTTTACTCTTATGTTGTGACTTACACCTATAGCTAAAAGTTGAACATGACCTTCATCATTACCAAATTTAAATGAAAATTAAAATGAATTTAAATGATTTGTGAATTTAAATTAATTGTGAGCAAGGCATGGCTCAGCTTTTCTGTGTTTTTGTATTCTGTATAATACTTCTCGACTCTTTTAGAGTCTGATGCTGAAGCCGTCAAGTCACTGCTGCTGCCTTTGTTTACGGGGTAAATGCTTGTTCATGTTAAAGATTCCTTTAAAAAAATCCTGCATCCTGATAATCACCAATCCTGCATCCTGATAATCACCAAAATTTTATGGATTGTTCCTTGGACTGAGGTGCACCTTTGGTAAAAATGTAATTTATTTTGTTCATAACTTTTCAAATTATCCTGTATACAGACAAACACAGTCTTGACTGAAAACGTAACCTCTTTTGGCTGAGGTAAGAACACTACGGAAGAGGATTAGGGCCACTGA